TGTTGTTTGGGGATAAGCCAGGAATATAGGACTGAATCTTTCTCCTAAGTATACTTTTATGCTAATCCCTATCTCCTTTGTTTCTATTTATATGTACTAAGAATTACGCCTAAATCTTAAAAAATAGTGTTCGCTCTCAATTCTGAAATTGTTATTCATTGTCCTGCATGTCCTCTGTTGTAGTATAATGTGAAAAAATTAATGCATAGAGCACCAGAATGTTGGGTTTTTTTAAAATTTTGTTTTATTGTTATGTTAATCACCATGCAGTACGTCATTGGTTTTTGATGTAGTGTTCCATGATTCATTGTTTGCTTATAACACCCAGTGCTCCATTCAATATGTGCCCTTTTTAATACCCATCACCAGAATGTTGTTTTAAAAACAAAAACATAGACAGGATGGTTTCTGCTCAAGAGGTCCTGCCTTTGAGTCCTCACCCCTCCACAGTTACTATGACTTAACTGAGCTGGGTTGTCTTCTGGCCTCAGAGTATCCCTTATCAGAGCCTGGGGTCCCTGGGCCTCTTCCACTCAGGACTTGGTGGACCATATCACACCCTCCTACACAGTGGCCACTGGCTTGCCTGGCTGATTCATTTGGGAGAGTCCTTGTAGCCATGGTTTTGTGTAAGTTTAAAGGCATCATGGATGGTCAGGCTCAACTACTCTGGTTCCTACAAACTTTCTGCTTTGGGATGGCATCTCTCTCCATCTTGATTGCTTGTAGACCAAAACATCAAAAACACACTTAAAGAAGATATTCAAAAACTTTCTCTACACTTTTGACATTCAACTTCACTGTTTTGGGGTGGAGGGGTGATGGTGGATGCTGGGGGAGTTTACTTGATCTTTCTACTTTCAGAAACTGAAGACCCTCTAGTTATTCATTATTCTTTCATATGCTCTGGTTGAGCTTGACTAGATAATAGGGAAGGATTTAAGCTTCCCAATTCTGCAGACTCACCTGTTTGGCCGAGGGCTTCCACCTACCTTCTTGAGGCCCTTGGCAGTGTTGGTGCTCTTTCTATCGTGTGGATTAAACTGTGTCCTAAAACTGCTTGTTGGTGTAACTTTGCTCCCACCTTCTGACTAAAACACCATACCCTTACCACCCATCTTAGCTCTCCTTTCCCCAAATTTTTTCCACCTTTCTGAACCAAGAGAGTGACATTTCCACGACACATCAATTCCACATACACTAGCCACCAGTGAGGCAGGATTTTATCCTCTCAAACTTCCATTTCTCACACACCAAGGAAGATAAGGAAGATAAGCAAGTGCCTGGAATGGGCCAGGCTGAGCAGTAACTTAGAGGCACAGAGGACACACTGAGTACCAAGAGGAGAGGATCTGGAATGGCCTTCCCTGATCATGTCAGCCAGAAGCCATCCTTTCCTCCATGTGGCTCTGAGGACATAGCATTCTGTGGTGTGCAGGGGTCTGATGGCCACTACTAGATGGCTCCTTCCGGTCAGGATCACATCTTAGCCAGATTTTTTCTCAACAGCTGTCCCTTTGCCTGGCACACAGGTGTTCTATCAGTGTTTTCTGAACCACGGACGGAAACTCTGATTTAACTTTCCACTTGGTCAGTATCATTCCAGTTATCTGAAAACTGCAGAACCCACTCAGTGTAGTATCTTCTCAGAGAAAAGCACAGGACTGCCCTGGTGGTGCCCCCTTTCTGTGGGTCCCCCAGTAGGAAACCTGTATCTTTTTCACACTTGCCAATTTTTAGTCACTTTCTCCAGACTCTGTAATGTCTCCTCTCCAGCTCCATCTTACTCAAACACAGATGTTCCTGAGCTAGAGATTCTAACTGGAAGCTAGTTACTACCTCTCCCACTCACCTGATTAGACCTTTTTACTGCTGACTGGTCAGAGCCAGAGTGTCACTGACTCTGTCCCCTGACCTTGGCAGAATGTCACCTGGGAGCCATTAGGCTTCCTTTCCTGGAGGACCACCTGTCTGTTCTCTAGGGACTAGACCTTATTTCCCTTCTGTGATGCAGTAGGGCATGTTCTCTGTTTTAAGGAAATATCTATGAGAGACAGCTTCCTCCCCCCAAAGAAGCCCCAAGTAAAAGTACAACCCTGAAAGATTATGGACTATGAATTCTTTCTGGGAGAGATCACTTTCTACAACTACATCTCAGTTTTTCCTGTTTCTCTTATGATGAAGGGATTGCCTTTTGGTAAGGAAAAAGATTTTTATAGAGTTAGACATCATGGAAATCCAACCCAGATTTTTTAAAAGCATGATCCTCTCAAAAAAGAAATAGTAATGCAATAATCTTAACGTGACAACAACAGTATGGCAGATTATTGAATGAAATGGATTAACTCAAATAAATGCTGTGCAATGTCTTCTCTTAAAAAATTAAAACTAAAAAATAAAAACATGAATTTAGTTGGCAAAATATTCCAAAATTTAATTTTCTTCATTTTCATCTAAACTAAAACTTTAAAGAGCAAAAATTCAAATTAAAGCATAAATGAAGTGCCAAGGTATGGTTCACACTTCATATGGGTGCTCTTGTCCCACATTAGTTGCCCTCCAGGAGAATGATTCCGCATTACAGGTTGAGGAAAGTCTTATTTCAATTAGTTAAATAGAGTTCCTTACTTCTATAGCCAATGCATTTCTTTTTAAAGTAGGTTCCATACCTAGCATAGAGTGCAGTGCAGGACTTGAACTCACAACCCTGAGATCAAGACTGGAGCTGAGATCAAGAGTTGGACGCTTAACTGCCTAACCACCCAGGAGTCCCTAGCCAATGCATTTTTAAGTGGAATTTACAGTGTTATTCTGTATTTTTCTTTTGGCATTCTTGCCTCTAGTTTTTCAGAGAAAACATGGGAGTTTTCTTTCTTCTTAAGTTTTCTCATAATCGGGCAACAGTAGCAACAGGGGACCCCCTTTGAACAGGCATGAATGGAACTTTTTGCTGAAAATAGAAGAAAAGCTTCTATCCACTTCCACTGTTCCTGCCTTGCCTGTAGATGCTCGGTGATAGGAGTTATCCTAGTTATTCGTGGCGTTTAATAGAAGAATTTCCCTCCCCTCTTTTTTCATAAAGAGTTATGAAAGCAGTAGTTTCTGTAAGTATGGGTGGTCACGTTGTGCCGTTTGGGGCAAATGGGGAGGAACCGTTCATCCCGTTAGTTTTGACAGAGCTCATACTGCGTGCACAGTACTTTAGGTGTGCTCCGTGGTAAGCACCACAAAGTAGGCATAAAAGGCGTACAAAAGCAAAAGGTATGTGAAATGATACTTTAAAAAAATACAGAGCAGAGAGCACAGTATTTGAAAGTCCACAAAACAATGTGAACTGAACCCATAAGTACAGTGCGTGACCTCACTGTCAGCAAGACTGGTGATGTTTTTGCCCTGCTTTTGTTGGAGAGGGCAAAAGAAAAAATGGCATGGCAGATGCAAGGAATAACTTACTCTACTTAGGAGTCATCCTTGATTGCTTCTTATCCTCATCTCCCCCGACGCCCAAACCATATTCAGTTCATTGACAGGTGGTGTCCATTTTGTGAAAAAATTCAGCTAAGGTCCTCCGTGTGTCTTCAGCTCATCGCCACCTCCCTGGTCTGAGTCATCCTCATCTCTAGTCAGGATGTCAGCAACAGTTACCAGACTGGTCTCCCAGTTTCCTCGCTTGCTTCTCTTGAGTCTCTTCTCCATAAAGAAGCCAAAAAGAACTCTTGAAAATATGCATCAAGTCATGTGATTCCCAATTTAATATTCCTTAGTGCTTTCCCCTGTTTTTTTGGCTAAAATCTGAATTCACAGAGTGGTCTGTGCTCCCTCTAGCTCCTGTCACCCTCACCTGACATGGATGGCTCCATCTCAACTTTGAGGTCCCACACCAATAACAGTTCTTCAGGGAATCACCATTGCTGCCCCCCTCCCTAAAGTGGCCTCCCCCAGTTTGTTTTCTGTCATATCCCCATTTGTCATGACCATCTTATTTTTTAAAATATTATATTTATAATTATTATGATTGTTATTGTTAGATGTAGTAGTAGGAGTTGCTGATCATTGGCTGTCTTCCCAGCTAGAATGTGTACTTCATGAAGTCAGGGCTCACCCGCCTTGTCCCAGGAGTAGCTCCCATGCCAGGCACATAGTCGGCACTCGGTAAATATTTTGAAAGTGAAAGAGCAAACTGTACAAAGAGTAAAATAATGAAATCCCTCTGCCTGGATCAGGGTTGTATTGAATGTCAATGTGAAGCTGGAGATTAGGAGGAAGCTAGAGAATTCAAGGAAGACCTTCAATGATGAACAGGGAATTCATACTTGATAAGATAAGCGATACATTGACCAAAGCATGGCACTTGTTTTATTTTTTGAGACTGATTATTTAAGCGGTTGTGCCCCAGCTGTATTGTATGAGGGAGAGGAATTACGAGCTTTGTCTTAGGGAATGATTGCACCAGCCCAGGAAAGGTGACCAGGACTTGAATAGGGAGATGCTGGGGAAAACATGGGAGAGGAGGTCGATTCAAGATTCCACAGTTTGGAATTCTGTGGTAACAATACACTGGAGCGGTCTAAATAGACAGTATTATGCTTTCTTTATTATGTGACCATAAACTACCAGCCAAAAAAACCTCACATTGTTTAAAAAAAAATGTTCTCAGATAAACTTGATAGAAGCTTTTGACTACACCCCAGCTCCCTCTTGGATGAAGCACACTACTGACAAGCTGATGTCAGGATGGGTTTAGGTTAAGAGAAGAAATTAGAGCAAACTTTTCCACTGCCGTTGATTTAATAAACAAGATAATGTACATGAAAAATGCCCAGTGCGGTTACTTAAACTTTCAACCGAATAATAAAAAATAGTGCTGATATTTACATTTTGTGAATCCACCTCACATTGTTTTTTCCTGCCAAATTACCATCTGAAAGGAAATGATCTAAAACTGTTTTCTTATGATGCTACATTTTTTAAAACATTCTTTTTCTTTTCTTTGTTTAAAGCAGTTGAACAAGATGAAGAAAACAGTGACAAACATGACATTGTGACAGAAGCTGGAGGTGTTCCAGATTCTCAGGTATGATCAGTTCTGTGACCATCTCTCATTACATCTGTTTTCTGCACTGAGAGTGGTGACATAAGGCAGGTGTCTGCAGATGATACAGGTTTGAGCTTCTGTGTTCTGTAAAGAGTGGTATTACTGGGAATAAAGTACTTATTTTTAATAGAGAGGCATTTCACAAGAAGGACCCTAAATTGTTAATTATATTTCTAATTTGATTCACGAGGGAGGGACAGATGGGCAGACATCCTCCACTTCCCAGAGAAAACAATGAAAGTAAGTGAAGAACCAGGAGAGACCACGTGAGAGCAGACCACCCCCTGAAGACAGCAGAGAAGAATGAGCTGCCTGGCAGCTGGACAGCTGGGGCTGGGCCACACAGATGAGTGGGATGCCTCACCTGCCAGAGATTCTCTGCCAACGCCCAGAATCTAACTCACAGCATGGACGTGCTTTTAGCAGCATCTGACCTCCAAATAGTATTGTGGCCTTACCACTTCAGACACCCTAGCACTATCAAATGCTAACTCGGTGTAAATCCGAGCATTTAAAGATTCTTGGCTTGGCTGACCCGTTGCACTGCCTTTCCAAGAAGTCCTAAATCTGTTGGTTCTGCTCAGAATAATGACATTAGCTTTTTCAGTCAAGATGGCACAGGCTGCACTATTTCAATAAGTTGATAGAAGGAATTGATGGGACTAATATTGAAAATGCTGCAATCACCACGTTCAGACTGAAACTGCATTTCAGGCTTTCAAGTGAACGTGAGCAGGGATTCCCCCACTTAGTGTATTCCAGACTTTCTCAAAGGTTTCTTAACTCGTTAAATGATTAGTGAGACGGATATTTCTAAACCTAAATTGTTATTCATCATTTGTGTTGAACTTACTCTGTGGGCAAAGGTCTGTTTTAACGGAATTGTATTTCTGTGTCTCAAGAGGATACACAGACCTGGCTTTTCAAGATTTTGTGGTTTTTTTCAGCTGTGCCATGAGTGTGTATCTACAGGAGGTACCAAGGGTCAAAATCATGAAACCAAACAAAACCAGTGAATTGATAATTGGATCAGGAACAGATTCGGTGTAGGTTTGAAAGGCAAGAGTGAAGTTCACTGGAGGCATAACTGTGGGTGACAGGCCTAAGCCGTGGAGGAAGGCAGGTAGCTGTCACCTCATCTGACACGTCGAAGGAAGCCTGAACTGCTGCCACGGTACAAGCACCAGTTTTGTCGATTTTCGATTCTTCAGGTCATCTTCCCAAATGCTCTGGGTAGCATCCTCAACAGTTCAAGTCATGTAGGGGGAGCTCAGCGAAAACTTGGAGAATGTTACCATCAGAATTAGAAATAAATGCTTGTGTGTGCACATGGTGTATACATTGACACCAAAACGTATTAATTGGATGTTTGGTGTATGTACATATAATGGATGTCAACACCCAGTATCGAACTCACAGCATGGACATGCTTTTAGCAGCATCTGACCTGCAGATGCTTACCTACAGAGCAGAGTAGGAACTTGCCATGCTCTGTGGTATTTCACATTATTGGAGTCTTCACTCCGAGCATATTGTAAGCAAGTAGAAATTAGTTTCTCATTCCTTCCCCATCCATATGGGGAAAATGCCCTGGGGCTGTTGAAAACTTTGGGTATGTAAAGGGTTAAGATGGAGGGACTGGGTCTCCTATATATGTTTGCCACCTGCCCGAAAACCCTAATTCTCACCTCATATGTTAGCTCCTTTCTTCCTTTTCTCCCTAAAAATATCTTTTCTGCCTAAAAAACTCCCTGTTTTAATGCGGTGACGTGTGGGTGGTGTGGAGAGAGCCTGTAGACTTGAGTTTGCCGCCTCAGCCCTTCTTCTCTATAGCCTATGTCTTTACACAAGCTCTTTAGCGTCTAAACCTGTGAGTTCCTGCAGGCTAGCATCAGTGTCTTCGTCACCATAGTGCCCCTGCCTGCAAAGTCCCTGCAAGTGACCGGCATGCGGGGTTTTCATCTCTGTAAAGTAGAGATCTTATAAAGTTGTCTGGAGGTTGAAATGAAGCAATGCAGAAAATGCCAGCATGTAAGAGTTTTAGTAATTGTTAGGCAGCGTGCATGAGGTCCAGAGTACAGCCTCCAGGACCAGACGGCCTTGGCTCTCCTCCTGGCTCTGCTGCTGTAACCTGGGTGACTTATTCTCTCCTGGCCTCAGAGCCCTTTTCTGTGATAGTGTTGAGAGTTCACTTGGGCAGCCCTTTGGATGCAGTAGGCACTCACCTAAGCTCCTAGTTTTTTTAACTCCACAACAAACCCTGTATTTACCGCCACTTTACAGATGAGCTGGTAAGTGCCGGGGCCAGGAATCAAACCAAGGCAGTCCGGCTCTGACACCCTGGCTTTTAACGCCTGTCCTAAACTGCCTTTCTAACATCTGTGAATTGGAGATCATTGTGGGGTTGTTTTGAGGATTAGATAAATACATGTGAAACAGAACGGTGCCCAGCACATAGTAAGTAGTCAAAGAAGTTCGACTCTGTGAGTTATTACTGTGATCATGATCATCTATGACATTGCTTTTTGGTTTCAATGTTTAAGGTGTCTAACATGGCTCGGTTGCAGTATTACTCTCTGCCTACCATTATGGTATCTTCACATACATAAACATTCTAGACTCATTTATCACTCTTTATATAGGACTAAAGGATTAAAGAATTTTTTTATCAAAATGTGTAGAATTTGGGAGGGTGCCTGGGTGGCTCAGTTGGTTGAGCGTCCAACTCTTGATTTGGGCTCAGGTCATGATCCCAGGATCGTAGGATTGAGCCCTGAGTTGGACTCTGCACTTAACATGGAGTAGGCTTGGGACTCTTTCTCCCTCTCCCTCTGCCTCTCCCCCAGCTCTCTCTCAAATAAATAAATAAATATTTTAAATTAAAAAAAGTCTAGAATTTTTGGGGTGCCTGGGTGGCTTAGTTGGTCAAGCGTCCAGTTCTTGGTTTTGGCTCAGTTCATGATCTCAGGGTCCTTGAATTGAGGCCCATGTCAGGCTGCATGCTCAGTGGGGAGTCTGCTTGAGATTCTTTCTGCCTCTGCCCCTCCACCTTTTGCTTGTGCACCCACTCTCTCTCAAATAAATAAATACTTTAAATGAAAAAAAAAAGTGTTGAATTTTTGCTAGGTTCTAGTTTAGGGCTCTTAATGTGATCTTCAGTGAGTAATTTATAATGTACTGAACTTTGGAAATTCTTCCTTTGCTTCAGGTGTCCATTGACCCCTGGATTCAGTAATTATTTTCATGTCTCCTGTACTCCATTTGTAGCAATCATTTTATTTATTTATTTATTTATTTTTAAGATTTTATTTATTTGACAGAGAGAGACACAGCCAGAGAAGGAACACAAGCAGGGGGAGTGGGAGAGGGAGAAGCAGGCTTCCCGCTGAGCAGGGAGCCTGATGTGGGGCTTGATCCCGGGACCCTGGGATCATGACCTGAGCCGAAGGCAGACACTCAACGACTGAGCCACCCAGGCGCCCCTCAATCATTTTAATATTAAGTGATGGTAACTGTTAATTGTATAAAGTAATTGCCAAATATTTCATGATTTTCAGTAGCCAAAAAGTGATTTTTTTTTTTAACATACAGAAGAAAGCTGTTATTTAAGGCTGTAATAGTGATCATAGAAAACAGATAATCATTTAAAATGCTTTATGTTGGAATTTACTAGGATTTGCTTTCTTTTTTATTATTATTTGTCAACTTTGCTGTTCTGCTTAGCAGTGTGGTCAGTAATGTTTACAGACCTGAGATGTAATTTCAGGTCCAAACAAGACAAAATATTGGTATCCTCCTTACTCTAGTATGAAACTTCAAGGAATCAAGTATAGGAAATAAGTGAACCATAAGCGATGTAAATGTAGGGCAATGTATTTTTTTAGTTTTCTCAGAAGAGAGAATTATGTACGTAAAATAGATTAAGAAAATATTTGAGGGACAGCAGTTATAAATTCCATGTATCTATGGCTTCTGCCTGTTTCCCTCCCCCCACTCTGCTCTGCAGGATGTAGTATCATACAGTGTTTGTACAGGATGGGTCTGTCCAACCCAAATGGTGCTTTAACACATGTAATTCCAGAAAGGAGGAGGATCAGAGAAGTGAACCTTCCTGAGGTTGGTGCCTTACCTGTACACGGAGGGGCCAGGAGCCACTGGATGACTCTCTGTGATGCCCCAGCACGGTATCTGAGGCCTGTCCTAGTGATGCCCTGGGCATGAGTAAATCTGCTTCACACTCCCCATCACATGCACTTTTCACTGTGGGCGCCGTGTGACGCTTTGCTCAAGGAAAGGGTATATTTTTCTAGCCCAACCAGGAGGAAATTTTTCATAGTTTTCTTTCCCTCTCTGAAGAAATTTGAGAAAATGAATACTTGCTGCCCTTCAAAATAAAATGGTTATTTATTATTATTATCAATCAATTTATAATTTATTATATTTAATATATTATAATATTATGATTATATAATTACCATATGATATATTCTATTATATATTACATTTTATGTTATATTATTAATATATTGTATATTTTAACATTATATTTTATGTATTTGTTATTATACATAATTTTTTATTATTATTATTTAGTGTGAATTATCTTCTGAATTTTCCTAGAAGGGATTCTTAATATTTGTTGTTTAGAAAATACGTGCATACAGTTGAGTCATGTAATATCTTCCCATCCCATCAGTCTTTCATCATTTGAGTTTTCTGTTTAAAGTAGGAAAAAAATTTATGAATTTCTGTGTGAGATTGAATTGTGAAAGAAATGACTCTGTTATGTAGTAATGAATAAGAATTTATCACCATGCATTTATATTAAGTAGCATTCTGTTACTGCAAAAGTGCTTACTTGAAAAGTGGGCTCTTTCATCCTGGTTTTCCTTCTCTTTTGCATGATGTTTTATCTAAGTGTTTGAGAGAAAATGATTTTTAAAGTGAAGATAATGCATATAGTGTTTTCATACGTAAAA